GGACGGCCTGGTTTGTAACCAGGAGCTGTGTTCTAGCTCTGGTCACGGGAGGGGAGTTTAGGAGAAGCAAGTTCAGAAATAATGTCGGGGAGAGGGTGAACGGTGCTCCTGTGTCCCAAGGAGAAGCCATTGATGGCAGCGACACCCGCTATTAGAATCCTGAGGGTTCCCCGGCCTGGGGAAGGTCCTAGAACAGAAAGAGGAACAGGAAACCTCTGGGGTTCAGACGGTCCTGGGCTCTGGGCTGTGGGTCCTCAAGGCCCAGAGAATTCTGAGACCGTCACTAGCCACAAGTAAACAAAGTGCTGTCTGTCGATGTTCTCTGGGATTCGGTCCGTCTACAACTCGGGGCTGAGAGCCTGCGGCAGTGCCGTCCCCTTGGGGCAGGCTGTCACTAAGCAGGCCACGCTGCCCAGCTGGATGTGGCTGGATGTCAGATCAGGAGACACACTGAAAAACAGGCAGATCTAGGCCCTCCGTGCCAAGATCCCTGCTCCTCTCCAGCTGTGATCATTTCAGGAAACTCCTGCCCAAGCCACAGCGGCTCCTGGTCCCATCCACCCACGGCCTCCCGCCCTCTCTACCCTCAGCTCCCGATGGTGCCCTGGGCCGTCCTCCCAGGACGGGTCCACTCTCCCTCCCATGGCTAGGACACACACATTCACTTCAGAGGTGCGTTTGGCTGGTTCTCAGACGTCTGCTTTAATACGGATCTTGTGAAATTCTTAGGCAACCTTCTGGGAGCCAGTCGACATCTTCTTAGGTCTCACTGCAGTATCTTCTCATCAACGGGAGAAAATGAGGATAAAAGATGCAAGAACCCGTCACTGCTGAAACGTCTCGAGATCTTTCACTGACTGACTTGAGTCAATCGAGACCGACTCTGCCCGCTTCTGCAACACCGGACGCCTCCCATTGGGGCTGGTCCTTAGGGGTGGGCCAGGCTCCCCACCACCGTCCTCTGGCTTCCTGGGTGGTCCCGATGCTTCAGTTAGTGTGGGTGCCTCCTCTCTGGGGAGGGGGGTGGAATGGGAGAAGCCACTTCAGGTCGGCATTAGCATCCCTTCCCACCCCAAGATCCTGGGACACTTTCACAGGTGCTGGCCAGCCTGTGTCCTGATGGCAGAAACAGGAGCTGTTGTGATTGGTGTTGGAGCCCCTGCATGCCCTGGAGCCCCAGGACAAAGATGACGATAAACAGGACTTGGTGACGAAGTCAAACGCCCAGTGGGTCCTGCTCCAGGCTGCAACCCTGCCCTCTGTCGCTCTGACGGAGGAGGCTCAACCCAAGTACTTTATTTATTTTTGCTGTGCTGGGGGTCACACACGGGACACTCACATGTGCTAGGCCAGCACTCTGCCGCCGAGCTACATGAACTCTGTGGTAGGCACCACGTGTATGCACTTGTGTATGCCAGGCTGCTGGGCATCCAGGGACACAAAGGCTCCTAGGACCAGGGACTGCCTGTGTCCACTGGGACTAGTTCAGCAGCAGGTGGGGGAAAGCCTAGAATAACTGAGACTCAAACACAAGAAATGTCGTTCTCCTGCACAAAAGGGATCTGTGGGGACCAAGTCTGTGATCCACGTGAGATCCACAGGGACTGAGACTCCCTCCAGCTTCCTGCTGTGCCTTCCCCGTGGCTCCCACACCTATGGCTCAGGACCATCATAACAGTCTGGATGCTGCGTAAACTCCAGGCCCCCTGCTCTGCCAGCTGGTTACCGCTAAAGAGCCCCTTGGGGCCCCAGGCAAATGCTCACCTAGACTTTAAGGAGTCAAGGGGCATGGGAAGTGGGTAGGCTGAAGGGGGTGCACTGTGCCCTCCACGGTACAGGAGTTCTGTTGTTGGAATGAGAGGGACACGGCTGGGTGGACGGCCTGCAGCCGGGGCCACATGTCCTGCCCATCCTGTGGAGGAGGTCCTCAAGGGCTGCGGTTTGACCGTCAGCCACAGGTGACCTGCTTACAAGTGGCTTTGCTTTTTGCATGGGTAAGAGGGCATCTCCACCATGGCAGGTAAGAGGGCTGCTCCCAACTCTGTGAATTAGGAATTGCCAAAAGATAGTCTCTTTGAAACTAAAGCTCTGCGTAAAAATGAAAACACGTCCCTTCAGTTTTCAGAACCATGGCGTCTGGGTTGGATTAGAGATGGAACTCATGTCGGTGAATCTCCCGCACAGGGTCACCTGGATGGAGACGGTGGCATCTGAGAGTGGGCCAGGGCAGGCTCCCCGCAGGCTACCTACCGCCCACTCTCTCCAGAGGGAGGCGGACTCTGACGTCCCCTCAGCTGAAGAAAGGGGATCTGTGGCCCATCTTCTTGTCCAGTCCCACGTTAATAAAAATTCCTTGTCAGTAAGGCAAGGAAATGAGGGGCAAAGGGACTTACTTCCTAATTCCAGAGGCAGACAGAGTAAGACTAAAAATAGGGTCTCAACTCAGCAGAGCCCAACTACTGGGGGGCGGAGAACACCCACACTGCAAACCCAAAGCCGGAAATCCTGAACAGATTCAGTTGCCCACGAGGTCGGTTGTCTTTTTCTTACTGTGGTACTGAGGGTCACCCAGGGCTGGCAAAGATTCTTTGCATCTGGCCCAGCCTGAGCCTGGTGAGATCTATGAAGTCACTAGTTTAACTCAACTGCTCCTTGGAAGCTGCTTGCTGATCAGGAACACAGGGGAATGGGAAAGACCCTGAGGCACGTTCCCACCTTCTCCACCCCAGGAGGGTCTCCTCCCCAGGACGTCTGCACCCCAGGACAGTCTCCTCTCCAGGACATCTCCACCCCAGGACCAGGACATCTCTACCCCAGGACAGTCTCCACCCCAGGACATCTCCACCCCAGGACGGTCTCTACCCCAAGATGTCTCCACCCCAGGACGTCTCCACCCCAGGACAGTTTCTACCCCAGGACGTCTCCACCCCAGGACATCTCCACCCCAGGACATCTCCACCCCAGGACAGTCTCTACCCCAGGACATCTCCACCCCAGGACGTCTCCACCCCAGGATGTCTCCACCCCAGGACAGTCTCCGCCCCAGGACGTCTCTACCCCAGGACAGTCTCTACCTCAGGACAGTCTCCACCCCAGGACGTCTCCGCCCCAGGACGTCTCTACCCCAGGACAGTCTCTACCTCAGGACAGTCTCCACCCCAGGACAGTCTCTACCCCAGGACAGTCTCTACCCCAGGACGTCTCACCCCAGGACGTCTCCACCCGTCTTCACCCCAAGACGGTCTCCACCCCAGGACGTCTCCACCCCAGGACAGTTTCTACCCCAGGACAGTTTCTACCCCAGGACGTCTCCACCCCAGGACGTCTCCACCCCAGGACGTCTCTACCCCAGGACGTCTCCACCCCAGGACGTCTCCACCCCAGGACGGTCTCCATCCCAGGATGGTCTTCACTCCAGGACGTCTCCACCCCAGGACGTCTCTACCCCAGGACGTCTCTACCCCAGGACGTCTCCACCCCAGGACGTCTCCACCCCAGGACGGTCTCCACCCCAGGACGTCTCTACCCCAGGACATCTCCACCCCAGGACGGTCTCCACCCCAGGACATCTCTACCCCAGGACGTCTCCACCCCAGGATGGTCTTCACCCCAGGACAGTCTCCACCCCAGGAGGTATCAGAGGACAGAGATGAAGTCCGTGACTGAGGGCTCACAGGAGTCTCTCTGAGGAGAGCTTGAGGCTTGCCCACACCCAGAGGCTCAGCTTAAATTCCTCTACCCTCTCTCCTCCCTTTAGAGCTGGAACATCCAGGACCCGGAGATGCTCAGCGAATCCCAGGAGACATGTGTAGACCTCCAGAGGCTGTTGGTCACCTCCATCTGTTGACCAGGACTGTGATCTCATCAAACAGGAAGGAACGCAACGGGAGTGGGTCTGGTGTGCGTGAGCCCACAGCGCCACGCAGGCCGCGTCTGCTCCCTTCCACTCAAGGGTTCCTGGGACCAGAAAACTCTGAAAAAGTCAGACTGGGTCTATCAAAGGGCACCCTGAAGTGACTTACACTCTGACTTTTATTCCTGCCAAGAGCCAAGTGGTGAAGCTGTACGGGACCAAAATACCCGTGTCTGTGTCCAGTGGGGTGCGCCGGGGCGGCGCCTGCTCCAGCTCACCCCCCAGAGGTCCCAGCTGCCACCCCCTCAGCACAGGAGACAGCTGTGGTGGCTCTGAGGGGAGGGCCAGGCGTGCACGGGCGGTGCAGGCAGGCTCGGCTCTGCCACCGAAGGAGCCTCACCGCGGTTGGCCTGCCTCCGTCTCAGCCTGGGCCTGGTTTACCTGCCGGCCATAGATGGGGTCAGTCTCCCTTACGCTGCCCTCAAAAGGAGCGAGCTTTAGAAGCAGTTAAAACTAAGGATTAGATTGTCCCACCCTTCCGCAGATCAGCAGCGACCGTCTGATTGTTAAAATTTAAGTGCAAGACACTCTGAAGGAGTCTAGGTAGATGTGCGACTCCAGTGTACGTGACCCTCCAAACTTCAGATGTTGGGACTTCAGCCCCAATGTGACAGTGTGGAAACGTGGAACTCCAGGGCTGGGGTGTGGTCAGTGGTAGCGCTCGCCTAGCACATGTGAGGCACTGGGCGCGATCCTCAGCACCACATATAAATAAGTAAAGGTTCATGGAAAACTTAGAAAAAAAAAGTGGGACTTCCAGAGAGGTTCAGTTATGAATGGGATTGGCAACCTTTTGAGAAGTTGGGAGGCGCCAGCTAAGCCTTCTCCCCTCAGTCCATTCACCCCGTGGGGACTCAGTCTGCATCCACCCAGAGGTCACAGCCAGAGGTGCCATCTTGGAAGCCAAGTGCAGCCCTCACCAGACACCGAACCTGCCAGAGCCTTGTCCTGAGCTTCCCGCTCCAGAGCTGTGCAAAATAGAGACCTGCTCCTGATAACTGCCAGCCCCAGGTGGTGTGTCGCAGCAGCACTAGGAGGAAGTCAGAGAAGAGAGCACTGGATAAAGTCGAAATGAGAAAATAACTCATTCAAAATGCAGTAGAACTTTATTTCTCAATTAACCTGGGCCTCCTCGGTGACAGGTGTTAGGACGTACGTAGCCATGGGACAAAAGCTCTGAAGGTGCCCAGGTGGACAGACCGCTTTTGCTGTAGACCCCCTTTGGGGTTTTTGCTCTTGTTCTTGTTCACACACACACACACACACACATACACGTCGGGGAGCACCAGTCTTCCTCCCCTCGGTGGGAAACAGTCCTCATTCTTAAGCTGTAGCGGCCGCCTTCCCCAGCTGGGCACCATGTTGGCGGGGGCAGGAGGGCAGGGCGGCTGGACGGGCATCCCCCTGCTCCTTGGTATGAAGTGCACTGTGTTTCCGTGTCTGCTCTTGGCCCCAAGCCGTCCTTCCTCCGGCACCCCTGATGGCACTCATGGCTCCTGAGAACGGTGTGCAGTGAGGCGTTCACGTGGACAGGGAGGGAGGGCGGCAGGAGGAGAGGCTGGGGCTCGGGAGGGCAGCGCGACCCGACTCCCGTGTTGTCTCTTCCCCTGGAACTGGCCAGGCTTTCTGTGGCACCAGGGCTGCGAGCCCCAGTCTGGTGGCCTCTCCGTCCTGTTCATTCGCTCTGCCCCACAGCACCCTGCCCGGCCACCACGCCCGGAAGTGATTCACCGCCCTGTGAAACACACGAGCTGGTCTCCATGCTGCTGGGTTACAGGCTGGGGTCAGCGTGAGGAGGAGCCCTGCAGAACCCAGGAGGGCAGTGTTGGGAAAAGTATAAACGGCAGCCATACCCCAGAGAAAAAACCCCAACATGGCGCCTAAGAACTTCTTCTCTGCAGTGGCGCGAAAAGTTCCCGCCCTTGTGAACTCTCCCGCTGGCGCCAATTTCAAATCTCGCTGGCGGGGAACCTTAGCCCCAATGAGAATTAATTCCTGGGCGCGGGAGCTGATATCTGGAAGAACTTGCCAATAAACGGGTGGCCTGCCATTTATCTAAGCCCTGCCATCTCCCCTTTAGTTCTATATAAGCACACAGCTTTTTGCAATAAAATTGGAATTCTCCCGGCGAAGTGTCTTTGCGTGGGGAATTCTTTCAGGCAGCCGAAATCAGGCTGCTATGGTTACCTGGCACTGAGTGGTCTGGCCACCTGTCCCCACAAGGCAACCCCTCCCTGCGAGGCTCAGGGAAGACGCCCAGGGCTCAAGTCCAGTTGGCTCTGAGAGCAGGGAGAGCAGTGATGCTGTCACACTGCCCGCTGGTCACCATGCCAACAGCAGGTCAGGGGTCAGCAGCACAGACAGGAGAGCACTGTGGACCACCACTCAGCAACTAAGGTTAGAATGAGATCACGGCACACTCTGGAGACAGTGGGCCCTGAGCGCGGAGCTCTTCTGCTGTGCCCCTTCTGTCCAGCTCGCTGCGGCCCTGGGGACCTGGCAGCCCCGCCAACACAGGGCGGGCCCAGGCAGCACCGCTCCTTCCACCTGAGCCTCACACTACGGCTTCCAGGCTCCAGATGGTGATCATGACTGTTAAAAAGCCGCCATTATGCCTGTTAATGAGGATAATAAAACCAAATGATTCCTAAGCACTGGAAACATATGGAGTGCCCTCAAAACACAGATTTACCCGGCATTATCAGGAAATGAAGTTTTCCACGTCAGTGAATATTCTGGAAAATTAGGGCCCACCTCTTTAGCTTCCATTTTTTCTAAAGATATTAACCATTTGGATGGAACTGTGTGTCCCATACATAACACGTTTTCCCATCTTGATGAACAGTTTCATAAATGCAAAAACTTTATTTTTTCTGGATGTCTCCTCATCAACCAGAGGTGGCGGCTCCCCCAGAACACATCTGGGTCGTCACTAGGACCGGAGCCGCTTGGCTGGGCATGGTGTGCTACATGAGCGCTCCTGCACTCTACAGTAAGCTCCTTAAGCAAGAGCCATGGCTTGTCGCTCTGTGACCTTGTGTGTCTGAGCCCTTGCCCCTCAGCAGGCGGCCCCCGGAACAGCCTGTCCATGGCCCGGGAGCCTCTCAGGAGGCGCCTCTCTGGCCCACCCCAGGCCCACTGTGAGCTTCAGTCTAGATCTCACCTGCAGCTCCAGCGTGGCCTCTGCAGGGAAAGAGAAGCACTGCCTCCAGCAGAGCTGGTCAGCAGGCCCCTGGCCACTGACATCCTGATGGCCTGAAGAGCTTCGTAGGTGTGCAGGACTCAGGGAGAGAACCCCACAGACCTGTTGGTCCCACTCTGGGGTAACTGTGGTATGCACCAACCCTAGCAGAGGGCCCAGCTCTGGGCTGGCTCGCGGGACACTCTAAGTCCTGGTTAAGTGGGATGGAATGGTCATCCTGTCTCCTTCCCCATGAGCAAGCTGAATGGAGTTAGTCCTTTCATCCAAGTTGATAAAATTCCCATCCTAATGCAGTGGTTGAGGCCTCTGCCTTACTAGGTGGAAACGCCAGACCCAGACGTCCATGAACCACACGATGCAATGACCTGAGATGTCCTGTAGGGACATGCCCACATGTCCAGCCCTCCAGGGCCTAGAGGGGGCGGAACTGGGCAGCAGCTGCCAATGGGGGTGGGGCTTGTTTTCAGGGCAGGGAAGCGAAGTGTGGATTTGGTACACAGCCTTGCAAACATGCTAACGCCCTGAACAGCCTGTCGAGGATGGAGTCTAACCACGTGAATCTGACTCCATTCTGGCACAGCCCTGGGATTCCCGTCCGGCCTCCTGAACTCAGTCCTCCTCCTGCCACATGGGAGCCTCGGACCCCCGGCAAGTCAGGACCTCTTCAAGACAAAACTCCATCTATGAAGAGGATGCATGGTGTCTACTTGTGCGTTTATTATGAGATTTAAGGGGATTAGCAAAAAAAATGTCTATGGTAGGGCAAAACCTACCACCCCAAAATATGACCGAGGAGACAGAGCATTCCACCCTAAAATCAACCTCCTCGGTATAGTGACTGTCTCCAGCTGGTTATTTTGAGAAACTGCAGACACAGGAGCAGCTTGGCAAAGCTGCCCTTTTGTAAAGGAAGTCTTCCTGGGAAAGACGTGTACCAAGAAGAGTTTCTAAGCCTTGCTCTTTGGGCTGGAGGTGCAGGAGACCAGAGGGTGGGAGGTCAGAGAGACCTTGCTTCTGAGACCTCCCAGTGTCCTTCAGCCCAGAGTGCTCAGCACCTTGGGGTATCAGGCTCTGAGCCCCAACATGGCTCATTTGGAATCCAACAGTTTTCAAACTTGAAAATGCAGAAGTATCACCTTGCAAGCTTGATAAAATGAATGCTCCTTAGGCTTTTGGATTTGCAAGTCTGGGGTGAGGCTTCAGGATCCGCATTTTTAATAAGCTTAGCATTCTGATGACAGATGGCCTGGGCATGGCACTAGGAGAAAAACTGTCTGAACCTGGCGAACTAGGAAGAGAGCTGAACGATCCTTTAAGAATTACATGTTATTTTCCCACTCAGGATGTCGGAAACCAAGAACATTGCTCCTATCCTTACACCAAAAAAATACATAAAGCTGGACAATCTGAGCTTTCCTGAGTCCCCCATAGAGCTGAGGCTGAAGGGCAACCCGCGGAGCCAAGACCTAAAACACAGCACCCCCACGGAGACAAAGGCACAGACATGTGGTCACCAGGGCAGAGGCCACCAGCCGCAGAGAGGAAAAATTCAGCTACGACTTTTAACAGATTGCGAAGGGTACAGCTCAGGCCAGGAAGAGACCATCAATCAAACTAGCCAGAGACAAATGCCCAACTAGCAAGAGACTACCAAGCCACAGCACAGAGTTTGACACCCTCTCACGGGCTTTTTTCCATGGACCTCGTTGGGTACACACAGGGCAGATGAGGAGCAAGTTGCAGCCCAGGCACTGCAGGCCTTGGGAAGAGGAGCCGTGGCTGTGACAGATGCAGGGAGCAGCACTGGGTCCTGCCCTCCATCTCTCCTACAGAGAAAGACCTTGAAGTGTTGGTGGAGAACAGACACCCTCACTCCCGAGTGCAGGTGAAAGAGCCACTGCAACTGAGAGAAGGGGGAGTGGAGGTGGCAAGTCTGCAGCCCGGGAAGAAGCAGGGATGTCCTCCAAGCCTCAGCCCAGAGCTGAGTTGAAAGGTGGCCACTGAGACCCAGAAGGACAATAGGCCGCCACAAGAAGGCTCACCCCGCTCTCTCCAGCACTAGGCCACAGCGAGCATCTGTGGACGGGTAACAGTGGTCTTCTGCTGAGAGGTGTGAGGGCAGGGGCGACCCCGCTGAGGCACAGCCAGGCCTGAAGCAGAGGCCAGTAAGTCAGCCCTGGTCCAAACACAAGAGGAATTCGAACCTTTGGATTCGCAAGTCTGGGGTGAGGCTGCAGAAACCACATTGAGGATGACCACAGCCACAGAAACCCCCAAACTGGTTCAGCTCCCGAGTAGGTTGACTCATCCCCCACATTAAAGTCCAGGAATAAGAAAACATGACGATTCTAGGCATAGCCACTATTTAACTCAGTCCCTACCGCCCTACATAAGATATTTGACTTTTGCAAAAAAAAAAAAAAATGTAAGGTGTATAAAAAAAAACTCACACAACAACAACAAGGAAAACAATAACAGTGCTGAGATGTAAAGCAATGAGCAGAACCAGACACACAGCAGCAGATGGATAATGCAGTCAGCAGGCTCCTTAGACTTGAAATTCTCAAGGAAAGTTAAGACAGACCAACAGAAATTACCCAAACTGAGACCCAAACATAAAGGAGCAGGTGAACAGAACCAGAGAGCACAGCTCCAGGCGCCTGCGGCCGTGCTGGTTTGATACGCATACAGTGGAGTTTCAGAAAGAGCAGGAACCAAAGAGGAAAATGAAGCAATGATGCGTCTACACTCCCTTCCTTCACTCCACAGGGGTGCTCTCTGCTGCTTCTCTAACTAGGTATCCAGTGTCATTTTTGTCTGCCTAATAAAACACCTGGCACTTGGTAGGTGCAAGTCTTGTGGCAAGATTGCTGTTTCCATCCTGTTGTCTGATGAGGTTGAAAGCTCCCTCATTTTTACCGTTTTCTGGTTATATAATTCTGGGTGGACAGTTTTTCTCTTAACACTGTAAGTGTGCACTCCATTGTCTTCTGGCCTGCATAGTTTCCAGCAAGAAGTCTGCCGTATCTGTCATCTTGGTTGGTCTTTTTCCTCCACTCGTCTTCCAGGATACCTCGTGCCTTTGCGTTTCAGTGGCTTGAGTGTGTGTGTGTGTGGGGGGGGTTACCTACCTTCCTTAGTGTTTTCTCAGTCCCTTGGATCAGTAGTTTAGTGTCTTAGCTTTGAACCTGTCTTTGGCTTATATTAGGATATAATGTTTAGGCTGAGAACTGAAGAATAAGAAAATCTGAGTCAAGAAGGAAAGGGTTAGAAGTGTTTCAGAGAAGAGGGCCCAAGAGATGGAGGAACAGCACGATGAATAGCACGATGAAAGATCCTTCCCTCTAGGCAAATTAAAAAGACCATCAGAGCTGAGTAAAAAGCAAGTGGGAAGGCGAAGTACACAAGGTCGGTCAGACTGACGGAGGACTTAAGTCACTGACACTTAGAATTTATCCTTAAGGGTTTATCAAGGGTTTTTAAGCTCAAAAATGGGACTCAAATCTGACAAAACCAGATTTAAATCCTTAACTTGATAATCCGCAATGGCCATTCAGCCTGCTGGGTAGAGAAGGTGCCGAGTCTGTTCTAGACGTCAGGTCTACACATTCCCTTGGACACTCTCACGCCGTGGCTCCTCTCCTCCACCTTCCTCCCTCCACACATTGTCATCTAGTACGTACCTAGGCTGCCCAGGACTTACCATGATGTGGCCCTTCCCTTTGATCCACAGTCATCACGTAGCTAACTATTTCCGAGCTTTCCTGCTGTTAGATGTGGCCATGTGCCTGAGTTCTGGCCAAAAGGAACAGGAAATAAACTTCTATTGTTTTGCATCACTAAGGTTTAAGGATACTTAGTCAGAGAACCTATCTTACCCTGAAAAATATACAGAGCAACCAACCATACAAAAATTAAACTTTTTTTCACTAAATTCCTTCAACTGACAATTGCATAAAAATATATTTTATAGGACTGCTGTGGATTTTATGACTATGTTAAGAAACATAAGTAAAAGTTTGCATATTCCCCAATTCACCCAACATGAATGGCCACACATTACCAATCTACCTCTACAGGGTTCCTGTCAAAATTCCTGGGACTCATGCTCTTAATTAAGCATGATATGGAACAATGGAAAGTTCCTGGCATTTGTAGTAGGAAGGCCAGTGTTATTCTGAAATGCTACTGACCAGTCTTGTGGCCTTAGAAAACTTATTATTATTTTGATGTCCCTTTTTATCTATAAAAGGGAAATAATAATGCCAGTCTTCAGGGACAGAGGATTATACAGAATGTGGCAATATCTGTGTGGTAAAGGGCTGCATGCAGCCATGATTTTCCCTTCCCCTTACCTACACCCTTTGCTGGGTGATTGCAACTTCATCAGCAAAGGGAGTGAAGTGCATCTCCCCAAGCCTGGATGCTGAACGCAGCTACGTGACTTTCCTTGGCCAGCACGTGAAGCCCTGGTGTTTCTGCTAGCTCTCTTAGGCCTCGTCCTCTTCCACCACCAGGAGAACCCGGTCGAGTTAGCTCGATGAAAGATAAGAGATGCACAGGTCAGAGCTGAGTTTCCCAGGGCACTGAGTCAAGACCATCCCAGGTCACCTGACAGACAGCCAACCCCCAGATATGTGAGCCCAGCGAAGGTCAGCAAAGCCACCTCACCACCCTCTGGACACAGGGGAAATAAACACATACTGTTGCACGCCACTGAGAGTCCGTGCTGTTTGTTACACAGCATGATTTCTGTTGGTGTATTGCAGTTGTACGTGATGACAGGGCTCATTGCTACCTATTCATACATGCACACGATATGACCATAAGATCTGAGCGATGCCATCCCCAGTATCTCCCCTTTCTTCCCCCTCCTCCCTTCCCTGGCCCCTTCCCTCATTTTCATGAGATCCCCCACCCCCACTTTCTTTTCCTTTCCCTCTCTAGCTCCACATCTGAAAGAAAACATACAACCCTTGACTTTCTGAGTTTGACTGATTACATTTAACATCATGTTTTCAAGTTTCATCTATTTTCCTGCAAATGAAATGATTTCATTCTTCTTTATGGCTGAATGGAAGAACTCCGTGGCATATATATCTCACATTTTCTTTATCCAGTCACCCACTGATGGACCCCTAGGTTGGTTCCAGGGTTCGACTATTGTGAATTGTGCTGCTGTAAACTCGGTATGCACGTTTCGTTACTATGACAACTTTCGTCCTGTAGAATACCGAGGGGTGTTATAGCTGGGTCATGCAGAGATTCCATTCCTGGTCTTCTGAGGAACCTCCATTCTGATTTCCATAGTGACTACACTAATTTACAATCCCACCAAGATTGTGTAAGTCTTCCTTTTTCCCCACATCCTCTTCAGCATCCCTTAGTGTCTGTATTCTTGATGACTGCCATTCCGGCTTGTATGAGGTGAAATCTCAATGTAGTTTTGATCTGCATTTCTCTAGTCGCTATTGATGTTGAACATTTTTTTATACATTTGTTGGCCACTTGTATTTCTTCTTTTGAGAAGGGTCTGTTTAATTCATTTGCCCATTTAATAATTGGGCTATTTGGGTTTTGGGGTATCAAGTGTTTTGAATTCTTTATTATTCTGATATTAATCCTCTATATAGCATTATTTTGACAATAGACAACCAGTGGTCTGCAATACTGGGTTGCCGTAAACTGTAAAGGACTAGACGAATGTAAATTATTAAAACCCAGGAGAGACATAGAAGTAGATTCACCGAGGATCCCTTGGTCTAGGATGTAGCAGGCCTTGAGAAGGAGCTCATTGCATCCTCTTCCAGAGGGTCCCAGGATCCCAGCTAGAGCTGAAAAGGCCTTGGAGATGCCTGGTCCAGCAGGGTGCGAACACTCTTCCTTGTGCAGCCGCATCCTCCGGTCTGTCTGTGCAGGCAGGCGTGTGCTTTCTGGCACTTGCACACTCCAGGGGTCATAGAGGACCTCACCTTAGACCCTGCCCCCTCTCTCACAGTCCCTGGGCAGGTAACCCAGGGGCTGGATCCCCGTCCCCAGTGGGCTGCGTCTAGGCCATGCTCTGATGGGGCTGGGGTCTGCAGTTTTCCAGGAGCTTCCACGTCAGCCCTGCCCACAGGCTAGGTACCGCCAACGCCATGTCACTCGCCGACCTTCCCTGGGCATCAGGCCCCCCAGGACTTCCTCTCGGGCCGAGGCACCCGTCCACACACACTCGTGGAGAAGCGTCCTACTGCAATTCCCAGAATCAGAAGGCCACAGGAATAGGCCGGAAGGGAGAGCAGGCCGGAAGGGAGAGCAGGCCGGAAGGGAGAGCAGGCCGGCTGTTCATCCTCCGAGGAAGACTCACCCAGCTTGATCAGGCTCTGAGCGGCCTCTCACGGTTCCTGCTGGAGGAACGCTTTTTGTTCTTCTTAACAATGAGGCAACCCGAGGCAGACCTTCTCTTCCCTAAAAGGAATAAGGAGTGTTTATTCTGCGTCCTGAATGGTGTGTTCACCTCGCAGCCGCAGGAGCTTTTCTTCCTCTCTGCCCAGGGGAGGCAGGAGGTAGAGTGCCTGTCTACAGAGCTGACAGATGAGACATGACACACATGCAGAACCGTCACTTCTGTCACATTTCTCCCCTTAACTTTTTGCAGCAATTAAGGTTTCCATGAGCCTCCCACTCCTTTTCAAATCCTGCTCGTGAGGCAGTTGTAATTAAATCTCCTGACTCCCGGGCTGCTGTGTGACATGACTTTCTCTCAGGAAAGTTGCTAAGTTCCCCGACTCTTCCTGGCTCAGACCCCAAGGTCAACGAGTCGCCTCCTCCGTCTCTTCTCCTGCTAAGTCCAGGGAGCGCAGCTGCCCCTCCAGAGGCCTTCCCTGGCCCAACCCCGCCCCACTGGGTGCCCCGTCTTCCCTTCGCCCCCCATCCTGCCGTCAGCACGCCCTGAGCCCTCCTGAGCTGGGCCTGGGGGCACAGCGTGGGGCTCTGCCTGGGCCACAGTGCAGCCTCCTCCCCAGGAGCACAAGTGGCAGCTTCCACCCCCGCAGCAACCCTCACCCCCGGGAGCACCGCCTCCTCCCTGCCTGACAGGAGGCATGACGCCCCGGTTCACCCCAAGACAGCAACCGGGAACCTCTGAAGTCTTCACCCCATCTGAGGAATAAGCACGGCCCCTGACACGGCCGCCCTGGTGCCACGAGACCCAACCAGCCAGGCGTGAGGCGCCAAGTCTGCCTCACAGTGCACCAGCACCCGGTGAACCAGAGACCGTGCCACGGAGGGGCGTGCAGCCTGGGGAGGCGCTGGGCAGGGGTGGGGCGGCCAGCAGCGGGTCTGGAGGGAGCAGGAGCTTGGAGGGAGAGGCGCAGGCGCAGCGCTTCCAGAGCACAGGGGAGCAAAGGTGGAAGTGCAGCCGCCTCGGACCTGGACACAGGCCGGCAGAGGAGCGGGGACGGTTCCCAAGCCTGACCTCGGCAGTTCTCCCCACAGCAAGAACCGCCATCACCTCTGAGAGGCCTGCGGGCACCACCCTGAGCAGGGAGCCTGCACCAGGCCGCGCCCCTCAGCCCTCCAGAGTCCAGACCAACTCCTGGCCAGCGAAGCCGTCCCCCCGCCTGGACCTCCTGCACCCCAGCCCGCATGCAGGTGCACCCTGTGGTCACCTCTGTGCTGAACCCTGGTCACTCAGAGACTGAGGGGACGGAATTCCCAGCGTGGAAGAAGGCGGCCACCGGTGGCTTCCCCCACGGCCCCAGCTCCTCCGTAAGTAACCCAAGACCCACCTCCCAAGGACCCCTCCTGACTTCCGAGGGGAGCGTGTCCCCTCCTACCAGGCCCTGCCTCCTCACACACCGCCCACCACGCCCCTGACCCCCTCCCAGCCCCAGTAGGGCGCCAGGCTCCTTCTGCCCCTCACCCTGAAGCTGGGTCGCAATAGCCGCCTCCTAACTCCTCTGTGGGCCACTCAGCCTCGCCTTGTGGGGACGGGGGAGCGGGCCCTGTGGGCAGCTTCCTCAGCAGACGAGACAGACTACCCTGAGGGAGCCGCTGTCCACCAGCTCCCCGTCAAGGCGGCCCAGCGCTGGCTACTACCCGCACCCCGCACTCTCAGTCTCCACCGACTGCTCCTAGTGCTGTCCGCTGCCCTGAGAGTGCTGCTGTGTGGCTGTGCACCATGTTGTTCAGAAAACAGCGGCAAGGACAGGTCTGCAGGTACCCCCGCAGGGCCACGCTCTTCTCCAACGCTTCCAAACCGCAGCTGGTAGGACCTGCGGCTGCAGAACCCACAGTACCAACTGCACTTCCCACTGGGCCACGTGGTGATGACTCTGAGGATCCACGTGTCCAGGGCACTGATAAAGTGAATCCATGGTCACACTTCTTCCTCCAACGTAACTCCGAAGCAGACTTACGTTTTCCTGTCTTAATCGGAAAATAGAGGCCAAGAGAGGCTGAATAACTTCCCTCCACTCAAGTAATAAACGGCACCAGGAAAATTACTTGGGAACAATTCCATGTAGATGTTTCACCTGACACCATAAGACAAATAAATCGCAGATGAATTAAAGGTCAAACATTTAAAAATTAACAAAAAAAAAAAAAACCAGAGCTAAACATTCTTCCTGGTCTCTAAATAGGGGAGGATTTTTTAGGAATAAAAGCACTGGAGGAAATTCTACAACAACCCCCCAAAATTAGCGCATTGGTCCATGTAAAAATAGGGAACTTTTATATGTCACGAAGCCAGATAAAAAGCCAATGGCAGCCCGACAGAAAGTCGCTAAGAAACAAGGGCCTTCTCAACAGCAGACTCCATGCAAATACCTACTGTGTGTCTGTCTTAGAGTAGGAGGAGATTTCAATGAACAGACAACTTGCAGGACGTCGACACAATTTCCTAATAGACATTTCTAAGAGTCAGCTTTTGAAAGAATCAAAGACGTGCAAAATGAGCACTTGAACCTGTCCATGTGATTGCAATGGTGGTTCTCCCCGGTGCAGGGGAGGGTGACGGAGTGGACACGGTCAGCACACTGCAGAAACATGAGCCATTGAGGACCACCGTCAGGAGCCGTGAGAACACCCAGACAGGGCATCAGGACGCTCCATCGGAACCCACACTGCAGAAGCCGCCAGGGACACTCAAAGATGACCCTGCTGTGTTCCTCGGTGATATTTTAAGTAGCAATCTGCTCAATGCGACATTCTATCACAGGCACATAATAAGGAAGCAGGTAGGGCAGGACAGCTTCCTTCTTATCTCCCTGATACACGGGACCAGGTGGGGACGATGACAGTCTCTGCAGTCCTGACCCGGGCCGTGCACCCTGACCTAGACACCCTGTCACTCCTGGATACGGGCTGGCCCGTGCCTCAGGGATCCTGAGTCCCACACACTCGGGCCAGAGCTCGGCCATCTCCTCCCCTGAAGGGGGAGGAAGGTCCAGGGGCGGGGACCTAAAGCCTGGGACGATCTGATCCCTCTCCCCCACCTCCTACGTTCCAGAGGCCTTCGCCCCAGCACAAACCTACGTCCCTTTGCTGGATCACGGTGCGGCCCTGCCCCCTCATTCTGGCCACACAGCAGACAGAGGATGGTTTTAAACCACAGATGGCTACCATCCCCCGCCCCACTGTCCAGTGGCTTCCTACACCCCGAGAGCAAACCCAAACGCCTGGCCACAGCTGCAGGGCCCACAGGCCTGTCCCCTGCCTGCCTCCTCCCGGCTACACCCACTGGCTCTGCCCCAGCCACCCGGGCCCCCTTCCTGTCCTGCTGACTTGCCGTCCACCTCCCCACCCAGGGCCTTTGACCACCCTGCCCACGTCACGGTCACTCCAGCATGTCCCTGGTGGCCTTCCCCGGCAGCTTTCCTCAGAGCCGGTCCCTTCTCTGCTCAGGCTGCTGTCCCTGGGCTCAGCAGCACAGACCCCACCTGACGTGCACACGAACCTCGAGCGTGTTTTCTCCTCGGTCACAGAAGGCTGAGGCTCAGGCCTGGCTGGATCCTCCACAGCTGGATCCTCAGCCCAGAGCAAGCAGAGCCGGCTCTCGGGAGGCAATCGAATATTTGTCGAGATGATTGATGGACTTATGTGCAGCACAGAGCAATCTCCAAGATATACTGCTGCATAAAACCACGTGCAGATGGCACCCAGAACACCTGTAGAGCCCGCGGGGGAGCTCTACCCAGCAACCGCCTCTGGAATGGAGAACCGCGGGCGCAAGAGGCGGATGTCGTTTTCAGTGACAGGTTTTTTGTTTTTATTGAGTTATTTCCAGGAGCATGAATTACTTTTCAATTAAAACAAGTCTTCTGCCTGGTCCCCTGTGTGGCTCTGATTGCCCCATCAACTGGCCCCATTGGCCTTGACCGTAAAACCCAGGCTCCCCGGCTGCCCTCCAGCCCCGTGAGCTTCTCCCGGTCTCTGAATGGTGCCCTCGGTCCCCTCCGGGGCATGGAGCTGCACTGCTTGATGGCTCCAGGAACAGAGGCTCTTCTGTGGAAAGACACTTCCACTCCCCCCAACAAAGCTGGGAGCTCCGCTGTCCCCTGCTCGCGTCCCCTGCTCACCCTGGGGCCACCTCGATCCCAGCCTCCAGGAAGCCAGTTCCAGATCCCCTCCCCCGGCCACTGGCTGGAGGGTGCTCTCAGTCAAGGACAGCTGGACGGCTCCAGCAGGGGCCAAGGGCTGAGTCCTGCCCACTGCTGGCCTGGCCCAGAGACCCAGAGGCAGCTGTCTCTTCTCTCGGGTGAGGACAGGGCCGCACAGGGAGGTTCTGAAAGCACCATCCCAGGCCCTTTCTGATTTTGACCCCCAGGCCCTGGACCCCACCAGTCACCCGCCCCTTAGCCTCTGGTTTTGAGAGGAGGGAGGAGGAGGACGGGTTCACAGCGGGGTCTCTGAGAGGCAGCAGCCTCTCCTGGCCCAGGCAAGCATGCTCAGGTGCACAGGTGCGACTCTAGGGACACCCCAGGACTGTCCTCAGACACTGGCACACCTTGAGATGCTCATAAGTCTCGACACCCCAGAATCAGGCGTACCCCAAGTCCACCTTCTCCTTCAGCAAAGAGTGGGTTGGTAAGGACAAGAGACCAAATGACCCGACGAAGTGACTCTTCTCCTCGGTCACGCGTGACCACAGAGGACAATGTCTGAGACACGAGTCCTGACTTCTAAGGGAGCCCTTCCTCAGGTGTCACACCCTCCCCTTTCCTAGTCCAAATGAGAGGCAGGACTGGGGAGCCACAGGTCTCAGGGGGAGTGAAGCAGGAGGCAGCCCCAGATGTGGCCCTCCCGAGTCCCCAGAGTTCCACATCAGCAGGTGACACTCTCAGAGGGTGGCTCTTGTGGGGACCGGAGGTCGGCATCCACAGGCTGTGTCCTGACCTCCTCCAGTGGACGGTCCAGAGACCTCGCCGCTGGTCTTGCTAAACGCTAGCAGGTGTTCAGACGCACAGGTCGGAAGCCCAGGTCGGACGCACAGGTCAGAAGCACAGGTCGGAAGCACAGGTCGGACGCACAGGTCGGAAGCACAGGTCGGACGCACAGGTCAGAAGCACAGGTCGGACGCACAGGTCGGACGCACAGGTCGGACGCACAGTCGGGGCAGCTTCTTTCTGAGGGACGGCTGAGCCAGGCAGCTTCAGAACTCTTCTGGAGAGGCTACAACCTCCGAGGGTCTCCACTCCCTGTTAGAAACGTTCCAACTCACCCACCAAGTGGCATCTAAGACAGCGACTGCTGTTTCTTTGGGAAAGCGTGTTATTATTTTATTTTGTATTGTCATCACGTATTTTAGGAATGACTCAGAACCACCGTAAATTCAAACAAAAGAGCTCCTTTCATTGAACACATGTTCATCTCCAGGCACCGGGCTCACCAAGTGGCTTGAGCTTCTCACTCAATGCCCAAGCCAACCTCGGTGACACACTGTGGTCATCCCCAGTCTACAGAAAGTGAACGGAGGACAAGTTCAGCAGGCTGCCATGTCCCCTGCCGGGAAGCCACCACCAGCCACCAGGTCATGTCACCTGCCAGCATTTAGTACCGACCAGGTGCTGCTGGTATCAGGAAGGAAGTAGTTTTTGTAGTCTCTAACTTCCAGCCTTCTGCTGTTAACCCTAGAGGTAGCCACGAACCCTCCGTTTAGCTTTATATACTGCAGCCAGGTACCTGAAGAAAATCATCCTTCAATATGGAATTGCACAACTTTTGCACTTCATTCTTTGTAGGCCTGGGGATCAACCCCAGAGCCTCCCACACGCTAGGCAAGTGCTCTATCACTGAGCTGTACTCCAGCGGCAAACTGCAGAACTTTACAGGCATCACCACGGATAAGACAAGACAATTGCTCCCTTAAAAAAGCGTTATGGCGGGCAGGGGTTGTGGCTCAGTGGTATAGGGCTCACCTAGCACGTGCAAGGCCCTGGGTTCAATCCTCAGTACCACATAAAAATAAATAAATAAGATAAAGGTCTTGTGTCAAGCTACAACTAAAAATATCGATATATTTCTAAAAATAAAGTTTATTAAAAAACCATTATGGCGTCACAAAGCGTACTAACTGCCAAAGTGACATTGTTAACTTCATTTCTTCAGCAGGAGGGATTCAGGAGCTGCAGGACCTAGTATGTAAATACGCAAATTAGTAAAGCCAGGTGCCTGCCCTCAAGGAGCCCAGCCGGGGGAGAAAGGCACAGCCAGGGGCACTGTGAGGAGAATGTCATGAAGGGGCAAGGTCTGAGGACGCTCGGGGGCTCGGCAAGAGGAACCCCAGGATCTCACCCCCAAGCGGGTCTCACAGGGTGAGCAGGAGCTCGGAGGAGGAGGAGGCTGGGGCAACCCAAGTGACCCCAGAGCTCTCAGGCACCGACCCAGTGGGCATGGAGGGGAGCTGGGGTCCAGACCCGGAGGACTGGAGGACCCCGGTCAACAAGGCTGAGCACCCCCAGACCAGGGCAATGGGGAGCCAGTGCAGGATCCTGGCAAAGAGCAGCACCATGGACACACTCCCCGATGAGGGGCCCCTCCGGAGCCGCAGCCGTCCACAGATTAATAGGTGCCTGGGTCTCGCAGATCCGAGTGCTCTGAATATTTAATTAAATGAATTTCCTAAACACAAAAAGCATGATACATTTTAATGTGCTCCTCTCTCCTTCTCTATGGCAACTAATCTTAATTATCTCTGAACGCTGAGCTCAAGAAGAAATCTCGCCAGCTCATCTTCAGAGAGAGCAAGTCAAGGGTTTACTGGGAGTATTAAATGTGCATTTTTATAGGTTTAGGGCTTAATTAAATAGCACGGAATCCATGTGCAGGTTATTGAAAGTGTAAGTACCTGGAATGACGGGAAAATATTTAGAAAATTGCCATGTTGAGGCGGTTTAATTAAAGAAGAGGAGAGTCCGTGGAAACTCACGCGGCCCCCACTCTGTTACCTGCAGGGAACGAGGCTTCAGAGCATCTGGCACCAGGAAGTCAGCGAGGAAGCTACCCACGCCTACCCCTCGTCCTCTCCCTCCTCACCCCGTGGCACACAGACTCTCTCCTACCACCGACACCAGCACCGTGACCCAGTTCTGCCGGTGTGGCACTCATGACCCCGAGTTCTTAAAAAGTCATCCCAAAGCACGATAAGTCGGGGTGACGCCCAGGAGAGGGGCAAGTGAAATAGGGGAACCATGCTATTCAAGCAAGCAAAAGGGGCAAAGCTGCAGAACGTGGATCCAGGTCCTGAGCTCACCAGCAACCACAGGGCGCCTTCTCCTCACCGAGCTGCATCCGCCTCTTACCAGGCCGCAGCTGCACCAACCCTTCAGAGGAAGAAACTGAGGGTCAGAGAAACTCATTCACTTCAAGACGGAGCATCCACCAACTCCCCAAGGGGAACTTGAAGTGAGGCAAAATAAACCACGGGGAGAGGTGAAGACCGAGCCACTGAAGGCTGAGCACAAGCTTCGGAGACCAGGTGTCACGCAAGAAGCCCCTGTGTCACACAGACCCCAGTGAGGGCATCGCGCACCCCAAGGCAGGCGGTCTAGCAGAGCAGGGTGTTTCCCAAGCCCACTTCTCCCCAGAAGTGAGAGAGGCCCCACTGCACGACCCCCACCGAGGTGCCCCGGGGCCGGGGCATGTGCTGGGAGGGTGCCGCGGCCTCTGGGCTGCCACTCCTGCTGGGGACGACCGAGAGACATCTACACAAGGATGACCCCGGCCAGCCACTGGCCCTCCTAGAAGTCAGTCAGAGACCCCAGACACAACCCCACCTGACCCACAAGGCCTGCTTGCTCTGCACCAGCTCCTGCCGCCCAGGCCAGCAGCCAGGCCACTGCTGCCCCCCATGCTGCCCCCCAGGCCACCGTGCCCCTCCCTCCACCACCCAGTCAGGCGACTGACACCTCGGTGCCTTTCTACCTTTAAAGACGCTGAGCCGAGCACTTTCTGTACCTGGGCAGAAAAGCCCTACGGAGGACCCTTCCACCATCCCCTCCACTTTGCATTGAAGAAAGTGAGACCGAGAGGTTAAGGGTCTTTGCTAAGGTTGTCCAGCCTAGCAAGAGCCCTGATTTCAGAGACAGCTGCATGTGAACCCATGCACTGAAACATGCACTGTGTGCCTCCGGCCCAAGGTCACTGCGCCAGGGCCTCCTTTCCCACGCCTCCTGGCTCTGTCCCAGGCCCAGCCCCCCCGCCAGGACCGCTCTGCATGCAGCAGGGCTGCGCTGGGTTTGGTCGGGTGGGTGGATGGGTGGGGGGGGCAATCAGGATTGAGAGGGCCAGGGAGGTGGGAGAAGGGCCAGGGAGGTGGGAGAAGGGCCAGGGAGGTGGCGGTGGGGCTTTGTCCGGCGGGGCGTCTGAGCCTGAGGAAGGGTGTGGTTGAGCCACAGCCCCGTGGGGAGCACGCTCAGGTGGCAGGGCCGGAAGTCGGCTGGGCACGAGGCGCAGGGTGGGAGTGGGGCGACAGGCAGGCTGCACAGCAGACATTACCTCACCGCACAGCGAGACTGGAACTCAGCTAATGGTCCTGTTACCAGGGCAACAGCCGCAGCACCCATCCCAGGGAGCCCCTGCGGAGCGTTCTCCACGGCAGCGTTAGAGGCAGCACTAGAGGCAGCACTAGAGGCTCTGAGGTGCCAGAGGGTGAAGGCCGGGGGCTGCTGCCAGGCGAGGGGCGCTGCCCAGCACTGCCCAGACAGCCCGACCTGCGCCCTCTCAGCCAGCTCCCCAGGGAGGGAGGCAGCAGGGCCACTGAGGCCCACGGCAGACTGTGGATGCTCAGGCCAGTCTGAGACGCTAGCGGTGCTGGGGCCCCCACATCGCATCACAGACTCGTGGAGACTCGTGCACGACGGCTCGCGTTTACCCAGAAGCCAACACACGCTGGCCTCCTCGCACTCGGCATCCCTGGAGCACGGCCGGTGTCCAGGGAGGTGTGGCAAGAGCCCTCCCCTGGAGGACCCTGGGGCTGCAGGTGCAGGGAGCCCAGCTGCTCCCCCAAGGCCCCAGGGAAGTGAGCCTTTCTCGCGGTGACCCCTCGGCTCACCACCTGTCCTTCCGTCCTGCCAGGACCCTCAGGATGAGCTAGGCCCCTCGTCCAACTGACCACTCTGAGTTGCCCAAAGGAGCAGCCCCCAAAGGCATTAGGAAACTTGAGGCCCAGGCAAGAGAAACACAGGGTCTCACCTTCCAAACCAGTGCCCGGCCAGCCCGTCCCTCCCTGGTGGAGCAGCCTGGCCAGCTGGCCAGCACCTGTATTCAAAGCCCTCACCTCTGCACCTCGCGTTTTCTCCAGACCTTTCCATGAGATTGCCAAAGCAGAGAGGAAACAGGACTCAGGTTCCCTCGGTCTCCTCTGTGACCTCGCCAGCCCGCAAAACACACATACAGGTTTCACTGCCTCCAAATTTGCGTTTAGACTACTGCTTGAGGAGGAGTGGAGGATGGGCAGCTGTCCCTGCTCACAGACAGACTTCCGCAGAGCACTGTGCGCCCCTGGGCTTTGCTCTGCTTGTGCCAGTTTGCCCAGTGGGCACAGAGCACCCTGACTTCTTGGAAGGACTCCCTCCCAGCAGGAGTGACTTGGGGGGTCTGAGGCCCCCCCAGGCCTTGGAGTCCAACTGTGGCTGGCTCTCGCACTCCTTTTCTGAGTGAGCTTAGGCACTGCTTTGCCTGTTGGTTTATTCTCCCTGCAAAAGGAAGAAATTTATACTGAACAACCTCAAAGCTCAGTGTAAGCACATCAAGGCTGGAAAGCATCAGAAGCCTCTGAAAGACAAGGAGCCCCAACATGTAGACGATTGCATAAAACAGTGGCCCCATCCCATGGGAAGTCAAGGTACCCTCGAGTGCAAAGAGGTGACGGTTCCCTGCGAGGAGCTGAGAAGGACGACCGAGCCATCTCCAGCACTGGCACGTGACTGGTGCCGCAGCTCAGCAGCGAGGGCCTGCGCCCGCCCAGGCCAGGCCTCCCCAGCCACTGTGCTTAGAGCTCCTGTTTCTGCATCCCTAAGATGGCCTGCTGGAAGGACCACTGCCCGACACAGGCGGTCACCATCGTTCCTCCAATCACAAGCCTCGGTGCAGCAACCCGGGCACAGCTGCACCAGCACGCGGTTTACTAAAGAGGACACTAAGGCCCACAGAAGGCATCACGCTGGCCCCAAGCGCTGGGTGCGGCTTCTCGTTTCAGAGCCCCTGCCGCGCCACGCGCTGAGATCTGCAGGAGACCGCAGCAGAGCCCCTGTTGTCCCAGCCGCGGGTTCTGAGGGCTGCAGTCCTGCGGCACAGCCTGGCCCAGGGTTCACGCACACACAGGGCAGCACACGCCTGAGCGGAGCGGATCCCATTCCTCCCGGGACCGTGCCCCGCTGAGGCTGCCCTTGGAGCGCCCTGGAGAGAGGGCTGCAGAGGCGCTGCCTGGGGCCTGGGACCCGGCTGCAGGCTTCCGCTGTCGGCTCCCTCTTTCCACTCCCCAGGGGAACCATGCACCTCAGTGCTGGGGCAGACTGGGCTCCCACCTCCTCCCACAGGCTCCCCCCCCACACACACACACACAGACAGAGGCTCACACACACACACACACACACA